ACAAAGGCTACTGGCAATCGCCAGAAGAGTGGGCGCAGCAGAACCAGTGGGACCAGTGGACACCCAAAGGAAAGGGTAAAGGCAAGAAGTCCAAGAACTGGGTGCAGACCCAGTGAAAGAATCCCGAGAAGGGATGATCGAGCAGGTCAAGCAGTGAACGCTTGTACATATGTACATAGCTAAGCAACGTAAGACTTGATGTATACTAGCACAAGAATTCATGTACAAAATGTGAGCAAATGTATAGACGTAGCAAACTGGGGCAGTAAGCCTAGGTAAGCTACAACCTTCCAAAGTCTCACAAGAAGTTTCACAAAAGGCAGGCTAGGAAGGTACAAGGGCCAGAAGAGGCAAGAAGCCGGAGAAGCCAAGAACAAAGAAAAGAAGCCCGAAAGAAGAAAAGCCCGTAGGCTACGTAAGGGCAGAAGGAAACCGGGGTACGGGCCTCCCCGCAAAGAGTCCATAGGCTGGAACTAGAACGTAGCTGTATATACAGAGTAGGTTTTTCAAGAAGGCCAATGTACAGACATAGAAGGCCTAAGTAGCAACAGGGCAGGAGTGCAGCTAGGTAAAAGACCAAGAACAACGGAGACGAAAGTCCCTAGCAAAAGCACTGTACAGAAAGCCCTAGCAGTTTCCAAGAACACCCTAGGAACCCGCAAGAACTTTCTGAGGCGGGGTGTTCGTTTGTAACCTAGTGCACGTAGTCCCAAGTAGAGTGTGTAGAGTGTGTAGAGTAATCACGAGAACACATGAAACATGTGTGTGAACCGCGACACGAAGGCTTAAGCAAGTCAGCCCGCGAAGTGAGAAAAGTGTGTTTGTGAGTAGAGTGGGAAGGAAGGCTTGAGAAGCCTTTAGTTTCAACACTTACGAGAACTTGAAGGCGAAGAAGGAGTCCGAGCTGAATGAGCTTCTCACCCGACCATATGAAGACATTATGATCGAGGAGTTCATCGAGCGCCTCCCATGTCCACGGATCGAGGAGATCGACGAGCCTCCCGCGGCTACTCAGATGGACACCTCCGAGCCGTCGGCTGGATCCACGGACTTGCCACAGGGCAAGAAGGTTGATCCGGTTAAGGCCGAGCCCACCGATGTGCCAATGGAGACAGACGCTCCGGAAGGCTCTCCACAGGGAGAGGAATCTGGGGTGGATGTCCCACCAGAGAAGACCGAAGCCACGGAAAGCTCTCCACATGGAGAGGCATTCGAGGTTAAGGTTGAATCTGATGAGCACATGGGTCAAGAAGGAGGTAGGCTCACCACAGGGTGAGGAATCCATGCCAGACATTTCTCCCGAGAAGGATGATGAAAGTGAACTTCACGATCAAGGCATCTGGGGGAAATGCAAGACTGTTCCGGACCCTGAGTACTACCAGGCCGCGAAGGATGCAGAGGACCAGAACGAGAACGCGTTCGAGGAGATGGGCAAGGCCAAGGAAAAGATTGAGCTCAAGGACACCGAAGAGTTCAAACGTTTCCTCTCGGAGCTCACTGAGATCGAACGACAAAGCCCTATGCGGCTGCTCACCAAGCAGCTAAATGGATACGGCTATTTAGGCTTGTATCATACAGGACTGCGTGATCCTGACTACGAGCCCGTTCTCGCTTTCAAGGTGCAGCATATGAGTTGGAGGGTAAATGTTCCGCCTCACAAGGGACAGAAATACACCCTCTCCATGGGGGACCTCTTCGATCAACTCAACAAGATGTCTCCCAAGATGTCTCCCATCTATGAGCGCCGTCCCGACAAGCAGAATGTGGTTTTTCGTTCTGGGGACGTCCGCAGCACCTTGGATGACAAGCTCATGGGTAAGGCCTCTGACATCCGAGAATCAGCTCTGGAGGTTATGGAAGCACTTCTGGATGAGCTTAAGTCCCTCGATGCAAGCGGCAATTCGGCAACTCGAGAAGAACTTTTGAATGCTATGCTTCATTACTTCTTGAGCACCGGAGTTGATGAAGAGGAGATCGGGGACCTCTCTCTTGAGAAGACGCCGAATCCTTATATTCATCGCTTTGGTCTGGCAGAGGACTCCAAGGTTCCCATCTTTACCAGCAAGACCAAGTACGCCGCGCTCATCGTCAATCTCGGCAACATGAGCAGGGGAAGGAAGCGTTCTGCTCCTACCTTCGTTGCTGGTCACATTGACTGGGACGATACTACACCATCTCGTGGAGCCCTGATAAAATCAATTGCACAGTCGAAGACGCATTTGTTCATGCTATGCGAAGCAGCCAAGATCGATGACTCCGAGGAGGCCTTCCTCACATCGCGCGGTTGGCAGTTCTTGCGCAACGAGTCAAAGGATCTGATGGTGGGGAGTCGTACCAATGGTGTTGGATCTTCGCTCACCCGCCTGGCTGGCTCCACTCTCAGTGGATTCGCACACGAGTCTCTTCCTCTGACCTATATGGTCGTCGAAATCGTGTACGGAATGACAGTTCCGACTGGCATTCAGGGCAATCGAGATGATTTTCCAGAAGAGGCACTGACCAAGGTCCTGGAGCGTGCCGGCTCCGACCGTATCAGAGTCTGTGTCTTCCATCTCCGAAACGACGTGGCGGCAGACAAGGTGGCGTTGGCTCACGAGGCGTTGGGCAATATGTTCATCGACTGCTTGCACTACCAGGTCGACCTCATTGGAGGCGACGCCAACATGGCCCTGTATCGGGCCACTGGCAGGAAGCAGGAATCGATGGACATCCGCGGCGGGATGTACCAGAGCCTCATGGACTACTTCCTGGAGGCCTGGTCAGAAAGCCCGAAAAGCCTACACCTCTGCTCGCCTCGCGCGAGACATGTGTCAGCAAACGCCATGTGGCTTCTGAAGCAGTATGAGGACACGCTGGGCCGCTGGGAATGCCGTACAAGGAAGCTAAGCAACCAGACTGGAATACTTTTCCTGGGTTGGATCCTGTTATGGCTACAGTCATGGAATGGGGACACAGCATGTCGGACGATCAATGGGCAGAGTTTCCGTCTTCAAGGACCGAGTTCGACATCCATGTCTCCGAGTGGCTGTTGAATTCCACCAGCGCCGCGTACCTTCTCAACGATCGGGACTATGACGCTCACACTCCGCTCCTCATCGAGGTTCACGCGAACCAGTACACTGGAGGCAGGATGAGAGCGCTCAACCGCAATCCCGACACCATGAAGGAAGCCGCGGACAGAAGAAAAGAGAGACAGAAGCTGAACAAGGCGCGTGGTTCTGGTTCTACTGGTCCTGCAGCCGCACCACACGGAACAAGCTCTTCTCAGGAAGAGGCAGCTCCGGGTGCTAAAGCTTCTCGTCCTCAACGTCCTCAAGAACCCGCACAACCTCCTGGTGGCAAAGAAGGCGGCAAAGGAGGCAAGTCCTCTAAAGGCAAGGACAAGGACGCCAACAAGGGCAAGTCCAAGGGCAAGAACAAGGGGAAAAAGTGACTAGGTTCCGATTCTTCGGACGTGGATATGGACAATGGTTCTGACGAAGTTCCTTTGGAACAAGATGAAGACGTTGTTCCAGATCCACAGATATCGCTACCTCGGAATGCTGCTGATCCCCGCGGTTACGACCCTGTTCGCCATCAGCCGATAGTGCCGATTCATGCCAACGACATCTACCGTTGGCATGGTCAAAATCATTGGCGTGATAGAACCTGGGATCGAGACTTAGAGTTCGTCGACTGAACTGGCTGAGTGTTTCACGGAATGCTTCTTTCATAAGAAGGTATCCAATCTGAACATTCGTCATTTCATAGGGAGATGCTTTTCTCAGGTAAAGAACTCTTCTTCAAAAGAAGATACTTATCTCAGGATAAGATACTTCCAATGCCCTTATACGTTTGCCGTGTCGCAAGATGTCATGCTGGCATCAAGTAGAGCTAAGCTCTACAACCTTTTATGTTACAGTATGCTTTCCACCTGGAGAGGGAACTGAAACACAAGAGGGCAACTTTCAAGCACAAGTTTCCAGTTGAAGATCCGTTTGCGTTTTGTGCGTGTTCTGCTCTTTTCAGTGAAGCTGTCTTCAGGTGAGAGAATGTATAGTTTCTCTTCAAGTCGCAGATGTAGCTCAATACTCCGCTAATTCGACCAAGAGCAATAACAGGCTAGTTGAATGCCGACTCCACGGCCATGCAGCTCTACGTGTTTTAAATTTGTGCCTGGTTGAAACACTGAATGTTACACATCCAGGTGCCTGTCTGTTTCACGTATCACTTGCATGTATCCATGCCTGTTGCTCAAGGTTCTAGCTACAGCTGCGCGCCTGTAGCAAAAGAGACACCTGAGTGCCTGTGTTCCTGTACGCCTAGCGAGGGGATACACGTCCAGGTTACATCTCATGGGGGGGGGGGGGCAGGGGGGGGTGAAGGGACACGGGGGCATTCCAGGCAAAAAAACACTAAATAAAGGGGTGCACTCTAGCCCGAAACCCTGAACCCTAAACCCTGTAAACCCTAAAACCTGGCTTCCCCCATGGCATGTACTGCTCACTGCCTTGGCAAAACATTGCCGTGGGCACCATGGATCGTGCTGCTGTTTAGGGTTTAGGGACAGGAATGCTCAGAACTTGAAGTTTCTTAAAGGAGTTGATGTTCAAAGTTGAAGGCTTGTTTTGCATGTGGAGAAGTGGCTGGGAGTGTGACCCCAAAACCTAGCTTCCCCCATGGCCCATGTAGCATCTCATTGCCCTGGCAAAACAAGTTTCTGGCACAAAAGGCAGGAGGAGGACATGCCTCCCAATGATGCGTGGACCGTCCAGTTCAGCGGTGCACTGAGCACCGAGGCTTCATGGTCATGCACAAACTCCGTAGAATTTCTACGAAATCCGTGAGATGCTAGATGGGGGAACTTATGGGGATTCGAGGGGTATGATGCCTCCCGCCTCGTGAAGAGGGGGTTTTGCAAGCCTTGCGCCGTAGCATGTGGCAGGGAGTGCGAGAGAGATATTATGATGAATTTCTATTGCATTAGATATCAGAACAAAGGGATATTTATGCATGCTCAGGTTGTGCTGGGTGCCTGTTTGGGCCATCGGCCGCTCAGCCACCTACTTGCAGCTACAGGGACGGGCCGACCTGCTCGTGCGCCTCGCCAGGAACCGCGGGATCAGGAATTTTGGCAATGAGACGAGTGGCATAGGTCAACGCTTACGCTGTGCTATGCAGACCTCAGGTGCTATGCCATGTTGCTGCTGATAGCCGCGACCCCACCAATCTCGTGCCTCAATGCATGCAGCGATATTTCTTCTCCACAAATGCCTGTGGAAAGAGGCCATGTGGTTAAAGCATGGAGCTCGGCTGTCCAACCTGCACCATACATACATGCTTCCGGGAGCAGCGTTCTGAGTGCGCTCAGCGCTTGGCCCTGCTTGAAGGTTTCTCTGCATTTGGCGCTTTGCGCGCCTTTGGGCCCTTTGCGATGGCATCGACGTGCCCGAGAACATGCAACGATGCGTTTGCATCCTGGTTGCACCTGTATACGTACATTCATGCACATGTACATGTACGACCTAGGCTGTGTGCAAATTAAACAAGTCGCGGAGGTGCGAGTCGGCAGAAGCTGAGGCAACAACTATTCACTCTCAGGATTTTGGCGCGGATGGTGCGGATCTTTAGCTTGGGCAACCTCCCTTATAAGTAAAAAGAAGATCTCAAAGCCCTGGCGGAGGCATGCTAGCTTCAACCGCTGGCTTGTGCGCTACTTGTACATCCCGCTGGGCGGGCGTGGGCGAAACTCTTAGTCTGCGATCGCACATGTCAAGCTGGCAATTGAGTGGCTCTGGCCCAGCGAATCGATTTGTTTCCTTTTGTCGAAGGCTTCTGTGGGCAAACGTATGGATCGTGTTTGGCTTTGTGGCACCCTGCCTGCAATACAACATGACTATGCAAGGCATCGCGCTCCGTGAGCTTGTGAGCTTTGTGGAACCCTGTGGCCGTTTTCGAATTTTTCGAGGCTCTATGGCATGATCTGGAGAGAAAACTTTTTGCATGGGCTTAATGCAGCCTTGGACTTGAACCTATAGCATCGCTTGCCTCGCGAATTCGGCTACTTAGTAGGCTACTTCTGTTTTTCGTACCCCATCACAAAGACTGCGTAACATCTTGCGGCAGGTCGTGGAGCACTTGGTTGCTACGACCCGGCGCCGCAAGGCTTGTTGTTGCTCTGACTGCCAGAACTCTGAAAAGCTCCGACCAAGAAACAACAACACTTGTTCCTCCCTGCTTGTTTGTTGCAGATCTGCCTGGAGCTACTCAAAAACATCGGAAAAGAGTTCTAAAATCTCTGCCTTTTGAGGCCGCTTCGTTCCCAGCGGATGTCTCGAGGCACAACTGCGGGGCTGGGACGCATGGGGGAGCCATTGTGTCCAAGCACCTCTGTATTCGACATTGTGTATGATCCGAGGTGGCTCCGAGCAGGTGCAGGAGACACAACGTGGGACAACCCACACAGCTCAGCAAGCGCAGCATGATGTGAAGAAACTAGGGGTTAATCGCCCCTTTCTCGTGCGTGCTTGTAGTGAGTCAGGGTTGCAGCCGGAGCCTGCTACATTTAATTTCTCTTCCTTGTGAATCTTGTTGGCTACGCCTTGGGCATCAGTGGAACTGTTGAGCTCACGCATGTTGCCTTTGGCGATGCCTGGACAGCCGTGGCCTGAGCACAGGAACCATGAAGCAGAGAATGGGACCAGAGAATGGGCAAGAGAAATGGCCAGAAAGGATCCTTCCCAGTTCAGTCCTCACGAGGCACTTCCTGTCCTGATGTCCACCGGCCTGCTTGCGCTGTCCATGGTGCAGGCCACGAGGGCTCACCATGAAGCATCACTGCCTCTGCAGTTCCGCAGCAACGTGCCCGCGATGGCAGGTCATGCTTGAACTTTGCGAGTGTGGCTTCAGCAGGGACGGCCTCGAGAAGATCACGTGAAATTGCGTGGAAATCACGCGCTGGCCAGTTGCCAAAAGAATGTGCGGTTGGACCTCAGCGGGCAGTCCTCACTTGCCAAGACATTACAGATACAAGGTCCGCCAGTTATTAAGTTTCTTCGGCTTTCCAGTAGCTTGTTCTCAGGGCGTGGGCTGTTAGCTGTTGTATTCTTAATTAGAGCTTAGGGCGTCCAGGTTTAGTGCCTTGGGATTTTTTGGGTTTATAGCTGTTAGTTTTTTGGAGCCAGTGGCACCCGGCCCCTGTCAAGCCCAAAGCCCCAAATCTTCACCCTGAGCTTAGAGCTCCAGGCCCTACACCCCAGGCCCTGCGGCTTAAGGCTACAGCCTCTGCATTCTCTGGCTTAGAGCTCTGGGCCCTGCAGCCCCACAAAGCCGTTACCCAAAACAGTCTCTGGATTGTGCCATGACGGTGCTGTTGCTCAAAAGCACAAGCCCCAAACAGAGCCGGTACCGAAAACAGTCCCTGGATTGTGCCATGACTGTGCTGTTGGTCAAAGGTGCAAACCCCAAACAATTCCGTTACCGAAAACAGTCCCTGGATATTGACGTGACTGTGCTGTTGCTCAAAGGTGCAACACCCAAAACAAAGCCGTTATCGAAACAGCCCCTGGATTGTGCCATGACAGTGCTGTTGTTGGTCAGAGGTGCATTCCCAAACAAAGCCGTTTCCGACCCAAACAAAGCCGTTACGGAAAACATCCCCTGGATTGTGCCATGACTGTGCTGTTGCTCCAAGGTGCAAACCCCAAACAAGGCGTTACCGAAAACAATCCCTGGACTGTGCCATGACGGTGCTGTTGCTCAAAGGCACAAACCCCAAACAAAACCGATACTGGTACCGAAAACATTCCTTGCATTGTGCCATGACTGTGCAGTTGTTGGTCGAAGGTGCAAGCGTTTCGTAAAAACGAAAAACGCTTTCCGACGGATCAGGGCATTATAGCGCGCTGCTCCGCAGATCGTTCGGAGCCTTGGAGCCGGCTGCAGCCGCTTTCGTGCTCGAGCAGAACATCTGCTGGAGCTGATCTGTCAAATAGCTTCCCTCCAACTTAGCTGTGCAAAAGATACATAGCTGAGACCATACAGTCATGCAAGCGCTCTTTTGGAAGTGTTCGAGGGGGTTGAGCGAAAACCTGCCTCAAGCCATCAAGCCATGGGCGCATGCTGCAGTTCAGAGGAGGTTTGCCAGTCGACCTAGAGCCATTGCCACTGTTGCACCGATGTGCCGGAACACCTTCCGAGGGAGAGGCGTTTGTTGTTTGGATTTTTTTGGATTTTTTAGGGTTTAGGTCCTGTCCTACAGGGAAGAAAGGAAGGAAGGAAGGAACGAAGGAGGGAAAGCAGGAAGGAAGGAAGGAAGGAACGAAGGAGATGCTGCTGATCCCTGGTGCGTTGCGGAAGTCTTTCGGCCCGGAGTCAGGGTTGTGGGTTAAAAGAGTCTCATGGGCCCATGGCCACCCCCAGCGGCAGCGCGCGCAGCAGCTGCGTCTCGGCGCTACGCCGCAGTGCGCTCGGCAAAAGGAAAAAGGCAGCTCGGGGGCGGCTCGGGCGCCGATCGTCGCGGACTCTGCTGACGCACTGAGTGCCCACGCACACTCTGCACACACGGCGCACGTTCTGAGGGCTCGTAGCGGGCGGTAGCCGGGAAGTCTGCTCTCCATTCTCACGAGTCCACGACCGCAAAGCACGGAGCAGTCATTTAGACAGCAAGCAACCCTCAACTGTTACATCACTTAGTTGCAGCTTTTGGTTCCCATGGCGCACTTGTTGGCTGGAGCCTCAAGCAGAGCCGCCCGAAGCGGCATTGAGTGGCATTGAGTCCTACAGGCCTCCCGCTTCTGGAGCTTCAGGGAGTGTTAGTGAGTTAGTGTCTCCTCACGTGCGCAGACGGCAAGTTTACGTGGCTCGTTGCTCAGGACAAGCAAGTTGCAGGTCGCGTGATCTTGCAACCCGCACCAACTTTGGATTCAAGGCCGGGTGAAGCAGTGAAGGGACGAAAACAGATCTACAGCAGTACTCAGTACAAGTACTGCTTGACATCACACAAACTGGGCTGCACTCCCTTAGGGTGAGAAGTAGATACAGGGCACTGGCCAGCCCTGCTCTGCTAACCGCTACTGAATTCGGATAATTTTGACCATTATAATTATGGTGACGAAGCATCTCACGATATTATATACAATCCTGGTGGTCCTGGTGACGACAAACGTAGTTCTCGCAGAAGAGACCCAGAACAGTGAAAGGCTGATACTGCGGTAGCCCAAGCTTCGTCGCCCAAAACTCCTTCCGGACTAATTTTCGGTTCCAGAAGCCGCTCCATGATGACATTCCGTCCAGACTGATTTGGAAATTGCTGGAGCCACTGAAAGACACCTCGAGCCTTCGAGCGATTTGAAGCCTGAATGCAAGCAGCACTGTGGCGGGAGCAAGGGTCCGCACTGAGCGCAGCTTGGTCATACTTCCCCATAGAACAAACAAACCTCCAAGCAAGTAAGCTTCGGATTGGCGCAATATCCAAACAAGAAAAAACAAGACCACGAAACAGGTTGTGGGACCTTGAAGTTGCCCAGGCCACGTGTCAGCTACTCGTTCCAGGACCTTGCTACTGGTCGGCAAGCTTGCCAGAAGAGCCACAAGCCCATGTAAACCCTACGACGCCCGACCAACACATGTTCTGTGCGAAGAGGCCTTGCTTGGATTGGCCTGAGACTGTGTTAAGCTCCTCATCTGAAGCGCTGAAGAACAACCTGAAATCCCAGACTTGCCCTACGCCCTAAACTGCCCTAACCTAAACCACAAGCTAAGGTGCACCTGGAGTCGGATAGCCAGCATCCATCCGATGACGTTGGGAACGGCTTGACCAGGCAAAGCTGCGAAGGCTCTCCGTGCTGGCTTCAGAGAACGACAGAACGGAAATGATCATGGAGGTTGTGAGAAGGGCAATAAAAATAAGGGGTTGTTGAATTCCCATGCAACGCTCCGCCTTGTACAGATCCGGTTATGCCGGGGAACTCGCAAAGGCAGGGATTAGGATCAGGGCCGTCAGGATTTGGGATTCGGGATCTCAGAGTGCTTTCGGCTGCAAAGCTGCAGGCGTTGTCGGCATCGGCATTTCTCTGAATCTCGTTCTCGTATCCTGAACGAATACTGTTGACCAACACAGATGACAGGGCTGCATAACCGCAGGAAGCTTCCCCGGGCATAGTCCGCAAATAGTGTTAGGATCCCTAGATACGGTACCCCTATTCAAGAAAAGATCAAGAGTTCCCTTTATTGGTCCAGGTCGCAGAAGCGCGCGCTCGCTGAGGCCTGCGGGGACTGCAAATTTCTTTTCAGTCAGCCAAGTGCCACCAAACACGGTACCAAAGCGGTTTGGAGTGCTTGCATTACCTCATCCCAACAAGTTGATTTCATGCATAGACCCGTTTGAACGTAGTAGCTAACAAGACTGCCAATGCTACTGCCTAGTCGTACTACCACCATGCAGTACCGCTACAGCTTCCGCCACTACCGCTACCACGACCATCACCACTACCACAGAAACAATAACAACGAGCACAACCACAACAACCACACCCAAGCCGCCACCACCACCACCACCAACAACAACCACAACTTGGCCGCCGCGGAGGGCGCGTCGTTATTGTTTTGGAGCTGTTTTGGTCAAGAGCCTGAAAATCTGGAATTTTGTGTAGTTTCGTGAATAGGACTGCAGGTGTGTGTGTGTGTGTGTGTGTAACACCTGTTCGCAAAGGTTTAGATTTCTCGCAGGGGGCCGGAGTGCATCACAGAAGTCTCCAGCCAACGAAGACGCTTCTGTGTTTGCAGTGAAAACGTACCTGCAGTGGTGCACCTGGGGAGAAGAACTCCAGCTGGTGGCCACATTCTGTTGTGAGTGATTTCCTGAATGGCAATGGGGCCAAGCCATAAACCCCCAACATTTGCTGCAGTTGCTGCTTTTGAGAGGCAAGAGGTAAGCCTAAATCCTCTAAAAGTCCGACTCTCTGTGTGGTATGACTGATTCTACAGACTATGTTCAGTCCAGAGGGAGGATTGCACGAGTGTGCTTCTAGACGGCTTTCGTCGGTCGTGTCGTCTACGGTAGGGTTGCCTACTGCAATGGCCCTGATCGGCCCAGTCTTTGTGATGGACCCTGATCGGTCCGAGCCCTGATCGGCTTCAATTCAACAGAACCCCAGACCCTCGGGTCTCGCATCAATTAAAGCTCTTCGGAGTATCATGTTTTTCGCGATAAGCCTGATCGCTTAGCCGCAGACGGGACTGATTTCTTTCTGAACAGGTTTGAGGCCAGTTGGTTTCCAGGCCCTGCACCAGCCGTCAGTCTACAACAGCTCTGTCCGCCTCTGGACCATTTTAACAGCTTTTTCTGATCGAGACACACTTACTCAAAGAAGCTTACCTTTCCAACGAAGCCATGACCTCGTGGAACACATGGCAATCAAGCGACTCCAGCAGCAGCTGGGGGCAAGATCGTTCGTGGTGGAAATCCGATAAGCAGTGGCAGTCTCACACTGGGGATGCAGACTGGAAGTCCCCCCCATCATTATCGTTGCCAACTACGTTTCACTCCGACTACAAGCACTATGACAAGAATCCCCTTGGGAAAGGTGCTCATGTTTTGCATAGGGAAGTTCAGCCAACTGAATGGTCCCGCAAAGCAGGGCTAGCAGAGCGGGATATGGCTGATATCCGAGCCTACGAACTCTCTCATCGTGGCTTGGCCGACTTTTCCTTTTGTCGTTTATCGGAGGGTCGCCACCAAAGCATTGTCTGGGCGCGAAGCGGCTCGGAGTCAGTCTTGATGACAGCTTTCTTGAAGAAACTTCGTGAAAGCGGCGTTTCCATTGATGATGCTGCTAAAGCTTGTCACAAACAAGCTCCTCCTGACAAGCACAAAGAAGCCATGCGATTTATGGAACCTCTAGCTGAAGAACTACTGAGTTGCGTTTTGGCCAAAGCGCCGGTTCAGAAAAACCGATGCCATTGAAGAGCTCGCCAAAGCAAAAGCTAAACTGGCTGAGCGCGGGACCCAAACCTTGCATCTCGATTGTCGGTGAAGAACCTTTCCGCTGTCATAGCCGTGGCACAGTTTCAAACGGCTTGACTGGCCCAACATTGCCAACAGCTTTGTGCCTCAAGTAAGGCTGAAATCAAGGCAAATATTTGCCGACTGGGCGAAGCAGTGACCTTCTTCTTACATCACTGCCCAGGCTTCAACAAAGCCTCCATGTCGTGGGCCCAAGGCCAACTACATCTCCTGCTTCTTTTCTACTTTCAAGATGGCTCTCAAACTTCCTATGCTGAGAGCATTCGGGCGAAGCTTCGATGCTTTCAGGTCCATCCTTCTACGTATACATGGACCAGATTTCAAGCACCGAACGCAGTGTATATGAAGACGGCAGTAGATTGGCGCCGTTTTTCAAGTATCGATCGGCAGCCTTCTACCTACATGTACATAGGCTCCACAAGCCAAACAGTTTTCCGAAGAGAATCTAATCGATTCTCTGTTGCAAAGAAACTGTCAGCTGGAGGGGAAGCCCAAGCTGAACTGGCAATCCGGTTCTGGGTTTCCAACAGCTGCCTGGAAGATTACACAGTTTTTCTCATCTGCCCATGCGAAACGTACAAGGAAGCATGGATCACAGAGCATTGTCTGATAGGGAGATGGCAGCCAAAGCTCAATCATCCTATGTCTGTTCATGTTTGAAGCGTAGTGCCTTGGGCTTCCGGCCCAACAAAAGAGTCAGGCACTCTGTAGCCTCAAGATTCGGTCTTCGGTTATGGAGAAAGCTTCGAAAGAAGCTTCATCGTCAGTCTCAACCAGAACCATTTCAGCTCACGAGATGGTCGGCATGGGAGATACTTTTCAATCTTACATGCTTCAGTCGGGCTCCGTTTGAAGAAGCCGAAAGACTGCGAAGCGACCGTTTTGTGCCTGACGAGCTGTACTCTCTAATTCGTTTGAGCAACTGTTTGGAGGAACCTGGCAAAAGCAAAGCCAGGCAAATCCTCAAATCCGCTTGCAAATTTCGCAACATGTAATGGCCCAAGTCTTCTTTGGGGCTGCCGCTGAAGTTCACGTCGGATCCCAGCTTCGCTTCCGAAGTGTCGCGATGGATCAGGCACCAAGTGATCAAGCGCAAGCACATCTTGGTGCCCTTTCACCTGCCTCTATCGAAGATTCGAGAGCAGCCCCATCAATCCCTGAAGGACTTTTGCACAATTTCAAGGAGTGGGACACATGGCTCCAGCATCACTCTATTGATGATGTGCCGTGTCCGTGCCACAAGTTCTCCGGCCACTTGCACGAGTCTTGCTTGACTCGAGGCCACATTGTTGCAGGTATCGAACAGTTGGGTAGCCTGCACACATCCTTTGAAAAACTGGGAGTTGGCAGTGCTTCGTCAGCCTTCTTCCCAGCCGAGCATGAATTGTTCAAGCACAATTGCAAAATGTTCTCTTCTTGGAGACGAAAACATTATCTTCCCCCGCATTTGGAGCTTGAGTTTCAGGAGATGCTCCAACAACAATGGACCAAACATCTCCAGCACCTCAGCCAAGATCATTGTGCACTGTGAAGACCATGAACCGAGTCATGTCATGGTCTTCTGTCCTAAGTTCTATCTTCAGGCTGCCATGAATACCTGGCAAGGTTTTCGAGCCAGTAGAAGGGTCGCCAGAACAATGGACAAAACAGGTGCTGGCACAAATCCCAGAAATTTTGAAGAAGAGGTACCGATGGGGCATCAACCCCTCAGGATCCCTTCCTGTAGGCTTTGTGTTTCTCAAACGAAAGAAAGAATTTTTGAAGGGGAGAACGATAATATCGTACTTCCACAGTTGCATCAAAGACTTGCTGAAGGGGGCCTCACAGGCCATTCTTCTTTGGTGAAGCTGGTCTGGCCGGAGGCCATGGGCCTAGCAACAACACCTCAACTTTGGAAAAGCATGCGTGATTTCTTCGAACGGACGCCAGCCGATGTGTATCTGGCAGAAGTCAACGATGACTGAGTTGGGTTTTTCAACTCAGTACCTCGGCAGCAGATTTTAGATTCCCTCTCGTCTCTTGTACAGATGCATGACGATAGAGGGTACCCGACTCACATCACAGTGTCTCTCAGGAAGAGACCGAATTGTGAAACAGCATGGCCGGGCAAACCAAGAGCCAAAGGTGCGAAGCACATCCGATTCATACACGTTTCCGACCTTTGCTCAATTGTAGAAGTGTCGTTTCGAGCAGGAGTGTTCTCCACGCTGGGGCTGCTTTTCAGGCAGATCCGTGGAACTTGTATGGGGAATCAGATAATTAAGCCCTATCCTCAGCAGTTTGCCTGTGACTCAAAGGGAATCCTGTTGGCAAAGAGAGTGGGTTCAGTTTCTCCACTCAGCTCAGTTTTTCGACACTGCAGCCTCGGAACTGCTCCTCTGTAGAAATGTGGACAATCCTCTGGTGCTTTGCGATGAGAATCATCTCTTGCATCCATGTTTGCGAGATTTCCAGCGTCTCTCCTTTTATGGGGAGACAATCCAGCTTGAAGAAGTGACCAATCATCAGTTTCTTAGTTTTCGAATCAACTCGGCCAATCGGACGGTGACCTATTTACAGCCAGACAAAGCCTGGTCCATCCGAAACCCACAGTCAGCGGGAAGCTGGTCCAGCCGCATTTCCGGATATTTTTCCAGAAAGGCTTTGATTGTACAGTACTCCTGGCCACCGTCAGATAGAGCTCGTCAAGTACAAGAGCTCCGTCAACTGTACAGATCTAGAGGATTTCCTGATGAAGTGCTGCCGTGAGTCACAAACAGTGCTCCCGCAGCAATTTGGTTTGTTTTGATATGTATGCTTGAAAGCCCAATGCGCCGAGTCTTTAATTCAGTCTTTTCAGCAGCAAGCAAATTTCCTGACAAGCTGCCGATCTTGCAATGTCGTCCTATGTGTTTCAATTCTTTTGCGGACCTGGAGAGGGAGGCTCCATGAGCGTCAATCCTTCAGCAGCTGCTTCTTTGCGTCCAGCAGCTGCTCGAGCCCTCCCACCTCCGCGACCACGACCTTCGTCTGCCCCCAGCCTACCTGCAGTACCGGGCCAAAGGCCACCTCACCCTCGTCGGGCACAAGAAAACCGCGCTGTCCCGGTTCGGAATAGCGCGTAGCGCCTAAGCAAGTGAGCCCAAAAATTTGGACCTGTCTTCCTTCTTTTGATGCACACTTCTCTGAGAGGACCATACATGTTGATAGGCCACCAAGACATGAACTCGGGCCCTGTGCCATGAGAAGGATGCCTGAAT